ACCAAAAAAATCGATAAATTCGTTGTCGCCACCACAGCATACTACCACAGTTTGATGTGAAGTAGTTATTGGCTACTATTTTCTAATTTGCTATAGCATTTTAGGTAAAATGATAGGGGCAGAAACGTAAAATGGCATTCTTACAAGGGAATGGGTTGAGAATGAGGCCCTGTTTGACACCCATTTTTATCAAAATACATTTTTCTTTCTCTTCTTTTCAATCACATTCTTAATTAAAATAATATTATACATAAATCAAAAACTTTTTCTTATTTTTCAACCACACATTTCCTATCAATTTACTATTCAAAAATACATTTTCACATAAAAATTCCTATCAAACACCCTCTGAATTGGAAATTTGGATTCCTAAGTTTGTTCCCAATCCTTTGTTTTGTAAAATAGATTCCCACAAACAACTTTCCCGTTGGACTTCCCAATGTCAAAATCACAGGATTTCTCACTCAACTTCCCCACATAACCCTCCAAAAAAGGATTGGACCGGCCATTCCCCGATACCCAGTGAACCCCCAAACACAGACTGTCGTGTTTTTCTACCGTTATTTTCCTGCTTTGCTCTTTACATGGGCAACAATTTTCTGCAATTAACTCTCTCGGTTGTGTTTCTTTTCCAGATTCTTTGATCTAATTTTCAAACAAAGAATGAGCGAGAGATGTTGAGAGAGAGAGAGAGAGAGAGAGAGAGAGAGAGAGAGAGAGAGAGAGAGAGAGTGTGTGTGTGTGTGTGTGTGTGTGTGTGAAAACGAGACAAATAGAGAGAGAAAGATGCAATGTTTGTGTGGGTAGTTATTAGGGATTGGATGGGTTGAATTATTGGTGTAATATTGTTTAATATAATATTAAAATAATAATGTGTAATTAACACCTCAAAACTGAAAGTTAAACTTAATTCCTTTCTCTTTGAAAACTGATCTTTAATTTCAGGTTTGCACGTAATTTTTTCTTTAATTTAACACACAATTATTCACACATATAAATCCATTGATGGATTAAAAAATCCTTACATGTGGAATTTATGATGTTCACATTAAAAAAACCATAAAACAAATTTCTCTACATGTACATATTTGCAAGTGCAGAATAATCGCAATACCCCATCACTAGTAAAAGATATTACGGGATCATCTCCCAGTGGCAAAGAGGAGGGCGGATAGGGCTCAGCGCGGCAGTGTGCAGAGTTCGATTCCCCGCAAGGTGGAATTGGTT